ACTGGGCTGTCTCCAATAAATCCCTAAGGAATTGCGATGACAGCGGCATATCAAAAGCAGTCGTCTGCACGACTCTTCAACATCAAAACATCCTGACTTATACAGTAAAAGGTCAGTTTCTGTAGCCGACGTCTTCAAATATGGAACTTTTAGATACCTTAAATGTCTGGTAATATCTTAGCTGCAGAACTGTAGCTCTCTGCTTGAGAAAAATTTAGATAGATAAAGCAGGCTATATCTATCCGAATTTTCTCAAGCAGAGAGCTACAGTTCTGCAGCTAGTTATATCTTTTTTACAACTGACAAGTGACAATTTTCTCCCCCATTCTATTTTTGCCCCTTTGACCCTTATCACAAGTGGGCTAATTTGAAATGGAGCAAATTCAAAGAAAACAGTATAATTTCTTAAACAAGATACTTGGCGCATTTAAAATGGGGCAAGTGTAAAAGGGCAACATATCATGGGTAAAAAAAACCCTGTATGTATACAGTATTGTGTGAGTTTAAAAAATGTATTGTTTGAAACAAAAATAGGCCCAGAAATATACCCGGTATACCAATTCATAGGAGTGAAACGGTTCACCACGGTATCGGTTCACCGTGGTAAAATATGAAATTTATATCTTCTGCACATTCCATCAAATTTGTTGTACTTGCCAAAATTTCCTTCCGCGATGAGGCTTTCCCCAGCAAGTTCTTTTGGACCAATTACTATACGCGTCATTTTTTATTCGCGAATGGCCGCTAGAGAACTAATCTGCGACGATTTATTTCAGGGATTAGTGGTCATTTTTTCTTAATTTCCACAACTATTTTTTGTATTAGATTAAAATTTTATATCCGCCCATAAACAAGGTAGAATGCTACCGTGAGTACTGCTTACGCATTATCATTCTCGACATTCTGTGCATTGTGTCCATCGGCACCAAAAGTATGTTGAATGTTACCATGCGTATAACACTTCTTATGCATTATTCACGACGCTCGTATGAAAATGGGGAAAAAATCGAGGATATTAAAGTCGATTTCAAACTCACGGGTGTAAAAGTACCTCATGCTAAATGGGTAATTAACGCTTTACCATATCTACATAGCCAAAGGGTAATTATTATAAATGGTTGGGACGGAGCAAGACTGGGCCATAATTAGTCGTAATTAACCAGGCTATCTCTAACTCGTCCATAAAGAACTATAATAACACAAGCTGAAATAATCATTGACTTTCAAATCATTTTTAGACAAATAGTTTTAGATTTGCCATTCGTTTATATATTTTCTCTAAAACTTTGTAACTAAAGTTCAACTGCTTCTAGAACACTAAAGGTGCTTCCGTGATTACTTTATTGAACTGTCGGGATCGGTACTCAAAAAGGGAAAATAACTCTAATCATAACATGTGAAATCATATAACTTTTGTTTCAAATTCAAAACTAAGCACAAAGTGTCCTCTCGCAAAGGGGATTCAAATTTGTTCAAATGAAGGGCCACGTCCTCTCTAAAGTGGAAATATGGAACATATCGTCACTAGCCACATCATGAACCACGCCGATTTCAACAAGATTATATACCCACTACAGCATGGATTCCGACGTGGCCATTCATGTGAAACCCGACTTATTGAGGTCATCGATGACATCACCATCACTATCAATATTGACATAGGAAAACAGGCTCAACTAGGATATACGGATAAGTAGTCCTGATAAAATATTTTCATGCGCCAAATTTGAATAAATGCACTTTGCTTTATAATCGGATTCATGCGCCAAATTCGAATTAATGCACGTTGTTAGATAATAAAAAGGAACAAGATATTTTCCATCTGACGGGTTGACAGGTCGACAAATTCACAGGTAGACAGGTCGACGTGGCGACAGGTCGACGGGTTGACTGATCGACAGGTTGACTGGTTGACAGGTCGACGGGTAGACAGGTCGACTGCTTGACAGGTCGACGGGTAGACTGGTCGACTGGTTGATAGGTCGACTGGTTGACAGGTCGACGGGTTGACACGTCGGCGGGTTGACAGGTTGACGAGTCGACGGGTAGACGGGGCGGCAGGCCGACTGGTTGACCCTTAGGTTGGATAGAGGAACAGTCCTAGTCTATCATGTCCGATAACTCACCCTAATCTCTCAGGTGGGTTTTTGAACTAAACCTCATCTGTCAGGTGGGTTCTGAAACTAACCCAAATCTCTCAGGTGGATTTGAGCTCTTACCCTAATCTCTCAGGTGGATTCGAGAACTAACCTTAATCTTTCAATTAGGTTTGAAACTAAGCCTTATCTCTCAAGTGGGTTTGAAACTAACCCTAATCTCTCAGAGGGTTCATGTACTAAATCTAACCTCTTAGCCGGGTTTGAATACTTACCCTTATCTTTCAAGTGGATTAGAAAACTAACCCTAATTTCTCAGATGTGTTTGAAAATTAATAAGAGGTGTCAACTGTCGACCTTTGTGATGACATTGCAGGTTAACCAATAAGAGGTGTCAACTGTTGACCTGTCGACCTTTGTAGTGACACTGTTGATTAGTAAGAAGTGTCAACTGTCGACCTGTCGACCCTTTTGATGTCAATGTAGGTTTAATGTGGAATTGTCAAACCTTTTTTTTGTAAAGGGGAATTTTTATGGACTATTTATAGAAGGATTTATTTGGAGTAATAAGGCAAAATATTCCCACTATCTATAAAAAAAAAGGAACTATTTCTTATCAGATTTTGAATTTGAAAGATGAAAATCGGTTTTATGGAACTACTTATCCGTATACCCTAGTTGAACCGAAAAACAGACAGATTGCCTTATTATGGACTTTTACAAAGCATTTGATAAAGTGTGCCATAGTCTCCTAATCCATAAACTCAACTATTATGGAATAAAAGGAAAGACCAATCAGTGGATTCAAATTTCCTTGCTAACCGCAGGCAAAGGGTGGTCGTGGAGGGCGAATCTTCTGAAGAGGTGTCCATATACTTGGGTGTTCCCCAAGACTCAGTGCTTGGACCCAGTCTCTTTCTATTTTATATCAAAATGCCAGAGGGCCTTATATCAACGGTACGACTCTCGCTTATACCGTAGCATACATGACCATCACATCAGATGCAGAGAAGCTGCCGGAAGACAAAAAACCAACTAGCAGTATGGGAAAATAAGTGGCTCATGAAGTTCCAACAAGAAAAACGTATACGTGCTAAGCTTTACAAGGAATCGTAGAGTCATCAAGAAGAACTATACCTTACGTGGACACCAACTGGAGCATATCCCCTCTGCAATATATCTAGGCGTTACCATCTCGCCAGAATTGAAGTGGACTGAACACATAAACAATATCACAGCTGAAGCAAACAGAAGTATTGGATTCCTTAAAAGAAATATCAATATAAGTTACAATAACATCAAAGAGAAAGCATATAAATCCCTAGTAAGACAAAGTGTCGAGTATGCCAGTGCCGCCTGGAATCCTTTTCTAAAGTCAGATATAAACAAAATCGAAATTATTCAGCGCAGAGCAGCTCGGTATGTCCTCAATAGATACCACAACACTTCGTCTGTAACCAAGATGCTAAACCAGCTGGAATGACCATCTCTTGAAGAAAGACGAAGGATAGCCTGTCTCAGTGCCATGTATAAACTTGTCAACAACGAAGTCAAGGATTGGGTTGCTCAAAACAATGGTTAGCGTTAACCGCTGGTTAAATCTCTTATCTCTCTTGTGCTACAATATGAAATATTGGTATAATAGAGACTTCTGCAATTGCTAATTTTTTTTTCATTGTAACATAACAAAATAGATATTTTGCTTGCCTTGTCCAATATTTTCTTTTTCAATATTTATTACAGTTAATTAAACTTGATTCCTTTCATATCACAATTGTGAGTAGATTTTTGTTTTCTTTCAGAATTGATGATTATGCAAAGTTGGAGGATTTAAAAAACCATTCAAAAGAAATTTATATAATTCTATGTTTCTAACTGGATTTAAACAAACATACTACGGCGACGTTCTTCAACTCTATCCCGTACACCAGGTGACTTGTAGCATTAACTGTCTTAAAGAATTTGCCCGGAAGAAGCTTCCGGGCAATATCCTCCTTGAATGTCGAAACTTGTCTGACTCCTTCTTCGTCCTCTACTATCGCTGGAATGAAATATTTTAATATTTTCCCCATTTAGGAAAATTTACTTCTTATCGCCCTCGTTTTGCCCTCATGTAGAATGTGAATTTTGATGTTCTGAAAGATATATAAAAAAGAACTACAGTGAAAACTGTCTCATCAGACAAAATGTGAATTTCGACCTCAAATTCCTTTCCCATTTTACAATTTTCTTTGTGTTTAACACTGTGCAATCCGACACCCTGTTTTTCCGACATATACATGTATATATAATTATATCCTTTTGATGAAGTTAATCCAGAAATATATCAGACACAAACATCATACAGAGACTGATGAAAAACAGGACAGAATCTGGGTACCAGTACACGTCACTCACAGATCCAATTTTTTTACTTTGTGAATAATTTTTTTTTTGTTTACAATTTATGAAATAAAGAATATTTATTAAAAATGGTACATGTATATATCTATATGAAACCAAATTAAAATTTTTTTTAAAAATTACATATTTATATACATGCCTTTAATGCGTGTGCCCAGTGACAAAAGTGAATATACCGATTTCTGCGGTCACAAATCCCTTTTCGTTTTCTACTTTCCACTGAAGTTTTTAGGCTCTCGATAAAATTATTTCCATCATACCTATAAGAAATTATAAAGTTTTATAAATGCATTAATTTCTTTAGCTGGGACAAGAGACTTTCAGGATAATTGAATAAACTCTTCACAGTGTATGTGTATGCACATGTTCTAGTATATATGCAACTATGTAAAATGAAGGATTGCAAAGTTAAAGGGTAATCAAATAGTGCAATTTGCTACAATTCTTTGTAAGAATTATCTCCCTTGGGCAGTCTTCATAGGTGGTGCTAGTAAAATAAAAATGGCAGCCTCCATGGCAGATCGCTTTGCAAAAAATTCTGATGAGAGATACGTTGACAGTGAGATGTAGAAGCAACTTGTGTATAAACCTTTTATACAATAAATTTCAATTGTTTGGTGATAATTGATAACTTTATTATTTCAGAAATCTCTGAAAATGACATCATCAAATAAACAAAGACTGGAGTTCAGAAGACGAGTTCAACACTTTGGATAAAATTTATCAGGCAATGACTTTCATCTTCGACTTCTATGCATTTATAAGCACTAAAGATTACAGTTTTATGTATCGGTATAAGACTATAAGAGACTACTAACAAATGGTAGTTGTTGATTTCAAATTCTCTTTTTGTATGAAAATCATCTATAATTTCCGGATATTTAATATAATTTGCACAAAAATGTTTCAATACTTTTGAAAGCCAGAGGGTATGGTGTATTTGGAAAAAACATTATCTTTTGATTTGGCTGTTGGGTTTTTATATTTTTTAATAGCCGAAAATCACCTTAAAATCAATATTTGCATGATTTTGCATTTAAGCATTATCTCCCCTTTTCTGTCTAAAATTAGAACACCTCACTGGACATAATTATATTATAATTATTTATGACAAGTTACTAGTTGAGCTGTATTTTCACTACTTTTTCGTCAACGTTCTCCGAAAACCCAATGTGCCTAGACTGACAAAATTTGATGATTCTAAGCTAATACATACCTGAGATATTCAAAAAAGGTCACTGTGACCTACGTTTTGGTCAGCATTCTCCGAAAACCAAAGATGCATCATCTGACAAAGTTTGATGATTTTAGGTAAGTACCGGAGATACTTAATTATAACCACAAAATGTCAAAAGTAGGTCATTTTGAGCTAAAAATGCATTTCTCATGTTTATTTTAAGAAAACAAAAAAAAGGGTGTATGTTACATTGTAGAAATGTTGAAAGAGATGTCACAGAAAGAGGTTGATAGATTGATTGATAATGCCAGGTTATCAAGCAGTGTCTCCACAGATATAGTTGCTCGTACAGGTCTTGCGTTATTAGAGCAGCTTTTTCCATCTGAAGACATTGATCGAAGTGATCATGATGCTATTCTCATGGCAATTATTAATGATGCAAAAAAACTGTGTCCTGGTTTGGAAGAACAGCATAATTTTCGATTTGCTTTACTACTTCTATGGACACTTGGTATGTATATATTTCTGATGTGAATAGTGGCTCAAATGATTCTTCAATTCTAGGAATAAAGTGTGTATTCAATTTTTTTACTGCTAATCATGAAAAAAAACTATGTCATTTGCAGTATGCATTCATACATCAGTTATATGTTGCAGGGATGAAAAAAATTATGTGTTTATTCATTTATGTTATAAGTTATTTCTTACTTTCTGATTATTCTATTTCCAGTGAAGAAAGGAACATTTCAGTTGCATCGAAATATTGAAAAGGAAGATAAAGAGGCACAAGATTCCATGGCAGCTTGTATTGATGCACTTAAGTCTATTCAGTCATTAAATTCCAAAGGAGCAAGAACTAATGGTACAGTTATTAGAATTGCTTTTAAAAGTATTATCTTCATGGTCAAATTGTTGATTATGTTAAGGATTGTTATAGGTACTAACAAGTTAATTCATAAAGATTTACTTGTGACCCTAATATGTCTATGGTTCTTAAACAGTTGAACTTTGATATCTGGAACTTAAATAACTGAAACAGTTAAAAATACCATTGATATGATGAAATAAATTATATGTCCAAAACTCTTGATATTGAATTATCAGAAATCTAATCTGGCAATTTTTTTTTGTTTTTTTTTCTTGATCCCATCATGTCCAAGATAAAAAGGTTTGACTGTATTATCTGCAACGAAGTGATAGTTGTTTGAAATCTTTTTACAGACTCCAAACATCCAAAAAGTATATTAAAGATAAAAGACAGGAGTACAAAATGTATTGGCAAAAAAGTTCGTTTTGAGGGAGAGGCTGATATTCAACCACTTACACAGATGGACCGCAATCAGGGTATATTAAAAATTTACATAGTCCTGCTCACTTTCTTCTTGTATCTTTGGTATGGCATTGTGTATTTGTTCATGATTAACACCCTTTTCTATGTTACACGTACAATTCATTTATTTACTACATTTGTAATGGTAAAATAATTTGATGTATTTTAATATTTCATCTACTTAAAACTTAACAAAATGATTGATCAGATAATTACAATATGACTTTACAGCTTTAGATGCAGTTAAGAAGCTATGGAGCCTCAGGGAAAGTACCAACTATATAATAGAAAGAGTGTCGAACTACAATGTGACAGATGATGATTTTAGGTCACTCGCTTCTGGGAAATGGTTAACAGATCAGGTGAAATCTACTTATCTCAAACTAATTGGGAACAATGCTAAAATTTTAGATACTGTAAACCAACTTTTATTCATGACGACTTTATTTTGTGATTTACTGGGGACAACCAAGTTTGCGATGATTAATTTTGGCGACCAAGCCTTTCTCGAAACTTTTCTCAATTGAAACAGCGACTTTAAGGACTGGTTCACGGCGAGAAATATTCGCGATGACGAGGCTCTCCCGAACTTTGTGAAAATTTCTTGCACACGAAAAAAGTTGGTTTACAGTATAAGATGACCAAAGATATCAAAGGTACAAAACATGAAGAATATTAAAGAGGTTCAGACTTTTGACTCAGCTCTGTATTTAAGATAATATAGTTCAACTAAATTTGCTTTACTGAAGTTAAATTCCTTCAAATGAAATGATTTAAGGGTGTTGGTATAGGATTAATTTATGTAATTCATGTTCTTCAATATTTTTACAGGTCATTGATGCAAATGTTGCATTTATAGTTCAAGCTGAAATTGAAAAGGGTAACCATATCACAATGTACCCTTCACAAACAATGACTTCGATTATGAGTGGCACATTCTCTTTGGAAGGAGTCGCCCGCGTGGCGCAGTGGTTAGAGCGTCTGCTCTAGAGTCTCGAAGTAAGGAGTCAATCCTTACGTCGCGGGTTCGAATCCCACTGCGGGACGTGGAGACCGGTCCTTCGGATGAGACCGTATAAACCGAGGCCCCGTGTCGCAGTAGGTGTTGGCACGAAAAAGATCCCTCACTGCTCAAAGGCCCTGAGTGCCGAGCATAGGACAAAATTTGTAGCCCTCCACCGGCAAGTGGTGGCGTCTCCATATGAGTGAAAAATTCTAAGGGACGTTAAACAGTATACAATCAATCAATCTTTGGAAGATGTAGGAAGAACTCCGAAGAAGGTAGTTTTTCAAATCATTTAATTGTTCATCTTGAATTAAAATGATGTAGTGTAAATATTGGCATATAGTCTTATAATATTGGCATTGGCATATAGTCTTAAACCGTTGGAAATTAGCATATGTAGATTCAGGAATGTTTTAATTGTCAAGATATACAGAAACATGTAAAGATATTTTTTAACTTGTTGACATACATGTGAAAAAATCCCTTATCTTATGTCAGGTAAGTATTTCCTTGTGAGATATAAAGTGCATATGCATAATATGGAATGCTTGAAGTATAAAAAGAACCACAAATTTACCTCATTAATGAATCAAAATGATCATATAAATTGAAATATATTGTAACCTCCAGCGTTATTTAGCATAAAATCCTTAATTATTTTGTATTTTTGTTCTTTTTCATTTATAGTTGAAAGTATTTGAATGTGAAGCCATAGTAGGAGCTGTTATCAAACATCACCATTGGACATTGGTGGTAATTATTGTTTATTTTCTTTTTTATGATTAAAAATTAATTGTACAGTGTATGATACATTGAAGTTGTATAATTGAGGAAGTTGTCAAGATTCTACTTGCTCAATCATGCCCAGAATTAACCAAGGTGGAGTCAAGGGAAATAACGGTCAAAGGGAAATAGGATCTTTCGGATACCCTGAAAGATACATCTGAATTTACAAAAGGAGAAATCAGATTATTATAATTTATAAATGAACTTAACCCAACTACACTAATCTTAACTGTGGATCAATCAACAAGGGATCATAGACTACATTTGAAATATTATACATTTCATTGTCAATAATACATTACATTTCTTTTTTTGTGTTTGTTTTTCCACAAGTACATAGATAGTTGAACCAAAGAAGGGATTGATTTATTTCTACAATCCAATGACTGAGAGGAGGATGCAAATAAGAGAAGTTCAAAGAAATTGGTGGTATGTACATTTAAGAATGCAAAGACAACAAGAGGCCCACGGGCCTTATAGGTCACCTGAGCATTATGCAACAACTTTCCAGTTACAGTGTATTGAATTTGATTCAATAACATGTTTTAAGCCAGGTACTATATGGCATTCACAATTTTGAAAGAGCACCATTGATCATCATAACAATAAACTTAGCAGTCGCTTAGCTTGGTTACTGAATACCCATATGCAGGGTAGGGGAACAAAAATGCACTCTAACTAATCAGTAATATTCATCAATAATCAGTAGTGCCCCTAACACTCTGACATAAACCTATGGCCCTAGGTTGCACTAATTTTTAAAAGGCGCCCTTAAAATTGCCTATCAAAAAGTAAATAAATGTTTTATAAATACAAAGGACCAGATTTCAAACAGTTAATTCATTTCCAATATATATTAAGTAGAGTCCCCCACCCCTGACCCTTGGGCCTTGAAATTCACAATTCTGCAAGATTAGGGCCCTTGCTCATCATAACTATATAGGTAGTTCATCTACTTGATACCCAGAGACAGAGAAGAAAATTTTCAAAGATTTAATGTATTTTCACTATAATCAATAGAGCCCCACCCTAACACCAGAACCCCTGACCCTGGGGCCATAAAATTCACAATTTTTGTAGAGGCACTCTTGCTCATCATAACTTTGCATTTAGTTGGTTTATTTAATACCTAGGAGCAGAGAAGATTTTCAAAGAATTCATATAATTTCACTATATAATCAATAGAGCCCCCCCCAACACCAGAACCCTTGATGATAGGGCCATTAAATTCACAATTTTGGTTGAGGCACACTTGCTCATCATAACTATGCACTTAGTTAGTTTATATAATACCTAGGAGCAGAGAAGAAGATTTTCAAGGAATTCACATATTTTCACTATATAATCAATAGAGCCCCCCCCCCCCACACACACACACCAGAACCCTTGACCCTGGGGCCATAAAATTCACAATCTTAGTTGAGGAACACTTGCTTATCATCACTATGTACTTAGTTAGTTTATTTGATACCTAGGAGCAGAGAAGAAGATTTTAAAATAATTCATTTATTTTCAATTTATAAACAATAAAGCCCCCCCCCCACCCCCCAACCAGAACCATTGATGCTGGGGCCATAAAATTCACAATTTTTGTAGAGGCACTCTTGCTCATCATAACTATGCACTTAGTTAGTTTATTTAATTCCTAAGAGCAGAGAAGAAGATTTTCAAAGAATTCATGTAATTTCACAATATAATCAAAAGAGCCCCCCAAACACCAGAACCCTTGACCCTGGGGCCATAAAATTCACAAATTTGGTAGAGGCACTCTTGCTCATCATAACTATGCACTTAGTTAGTTTATTTAATACCTAGGAGCAGAGAAGAAGATTTTCAAAGAATTCATGTAATTTCACAATATAATCAAAACCGCCCCCCCCCCCCCCCAACACCAGAACCCTTGACCCTGGGGCCATAAAATTCACAATTTTGGTAGAGGCACTCTTTTCCATCATAACTATGCACTTACAGTAAAACACGGTTATAGCGAAGTCCTGGGGACCCGTTAATTTAATTCGCTATATCCGTAATTCGTTATATCCGTATAATGAATTCGTATAACCATATATAGCGAATTTGCAATGTGCATGTTTTCCTTCAAGTGTTTCTATCAAATATGATGTTAGTGAAGCACATATTACAAAACATACCTTCGATAACTAAGGTTTTATTATGAATTGAATTTTATATAAAAATGCTGAGAGAAAATAAAGTCAGTTCAATTATTCAAATTTTGAAATCTTTGAAAGTTCGTTATAAAAAATGTAAAATTCATTATATTTAACCTCAACGGGACTCAAAATCAGTTCGCTATATCCGTAAATTCGTTATATCAGAATTCGTTTAAATAACCGTAAAATTTTACTAAGATTTGTTAAGAATTTTGCCAGGGACCCAGAAACACTTCGTTATATCCGTGAATTCGCTATATCCGTGTTCGTACTAAACGTGTTTTACTGTAGTTAGTTTATTTAATACCTAGGAGCAGAGAAGAAGATTTTCAAAGAATTCATGTAATTCCACTATATAATCAATAGAGCCCCACCCAAACACCAGAACCTCTGACCCTGGGGCCATAAAATGCACAAATTTGGTAGAGGCACTCTTGCTCATCATAACTATGTACTTAGTTGGTTTATTTAATACCCAGGAGCAGAGAAGAAGATTTTCAAAGAAATAATGCATTTTCACTATATACTTATTTAGCCCCGCCCTAGCACTAGAACCCCTGACCCCAGGGCCATGAATTTCACAATTTTGGTAGAGGACTCAATGCTGATTACAATCATGCAAATAGTTTGACTGCTTGATGTCCAGGAGTAAAGAAGAAGATTTTTAAAGATTGCATTAATTTTAGTGGTTTTGGCCCCACCCCTCAGGCCCCAGGGGGGCAGGGATCATGAAATTCACAATTTTTGTTCCCCTTCACCCATAGATGCTTTGTGCCAAATTTGGTTGAAATTGGTTCAGTGGTTGCAGAGAAGAAGCTGAAAATGTTCAAATGTTAACACACGACACACGCCACACGACGGACGACGACGGACGAAAACGGATAGCAATAGGTCACCTGAGTTTACTCAGGTGACCTAAAAATGTTAACCTTATTCTATATTAGAATATGTTTTCTGTGTTTTTTAAATAGTGCAAATTCATAAAAATACATTTAAGAGAAAAAAACATAAGGCCATCCTTAAAATCATATTTGCTATCCTATCCCAAGTTAGGGCAAAAGAAATTGGTCTGTAGGTAGGAGGAAAAAAAAATTTCTCTGAAAATTTCAAAAACGGAATGGGAAAACATGGAAATAAAAAAAATCTTAATTCTTCAGGTTGAAAAAAGTTATGAGTCAGATCATTTTTTGCCATATGGTCAGTAGAGGGCAACCAAAAAATTTATTAAAGATGGTCTAACCAGTGTAAACCCATTTTGCTTATCTTTTTTCATGATGATTAAAAATATTTTTAGAGAAAAAGAGATACATTTTAGCTAACCTGTGCCAAATGCTCAAGTGAGCTTTTCTGATTGAAAGTTGCCTGTCCTTGTTTGGCGGTGTTATTGCCACTCAATTTTCAAATTCAGGTTTGTTTGAGTTAAAATCTTGTCACCTTTGGGGGAGGAGGGTATAGTCCAATCTACTTTGAAAAAGTTGTGTTTCTTTGCGGGGTCAACCAAAAGGTCAAGAGGAAAAAAAACACTATTTCTTACATTAGTGTTTAGCTTACTTTTAAACATACCATTCAAGATGGTGTTATTAAACTTCACAAACTTCCCTTACTTATGCAGCAATATACCTTCATCACCTGCATACGGAGTATTTATATCTCAGTTGATTCGATACGCAAGAGCATGCTCTACGTATGAACAATTTCTTAAACGAGGTAAATTATTGACAAGCAAGTTGATGAAACAAGAATATCATTATTTATACACTG